TGAAACATTTTTTATGACATAAATTAGATCAATTCCCGGATACGAATAATAAAAACGTTAGAAGATTTTTACGGCAAATTGCAGATAAATATTTATTTAAAAAATCGTGATAATTGCACATATACATCCACTAATAAACCTATTTCCAATTTAAAATGTAACGAATACGTTCATTACTTGTTTATTTAAACGATTTCTTATTTATTGGAAGATAACTTTACTAGTTTTATTACCTGAAATTCCTGAAAATGTGTTCGTGTGTAAATAATTGATGAAAGGTATTTACGTTGACCATTTGATTGCCAATGCGTTTTATTTTTGGCACATTGGAGACTATTCTGTAAATTAGTAGGATTTTAAAAAATAGTACTACGATTATCAAACGTATTATTTTTTAAAATATTATTATATTACTCAGGACATCGTTCCAAACTTCCTTGTCTTTCCCGAAACCAAATAATAAATAATAAAAACTAGTCAATAGAACTCAATATTTATTTTAATGTATGAATTAATACGAACTATTCCCACGTTGACTGATTACCTACTTAATATCTCAAAGTAAAACAAATAAATTAACAATTTTCTTCTTTATAAATGACTGGTTACACCTCCTGTCTTATTACTACTAATCTATGTTCATTATTCATTATAATTACGATTCATTCCTGTTTATGTCTATTTATAATTCTAGACTAGGAATAGCCCTATAATTGTTAATTATGACTGTGCTTAGATAATTAATTATTTTTTATTTACAATTCGAATCATCAATTAACTTTTAAAATATTTTAAAATGACCTCAGATTCTAATTTTAAATTTCTAATTTCATAACTTATTCTAATTTTTTGAAATTTATTTTTTAAATTATAAACTTATTTTTGTGAGACACGCTGTAGAGCTAACACTAATAATGACGTCAGAAATCGAACAATATGGGAGCACCTTGTTGGACGGCGTCCCACGCCGATAGCAAACTGTAATGTCTGTACCTATGTATGATCAAAGATGATTCTTGGAACTTATTTGACTGACATTTGAAAATAAATTAATATCAACGTATCAAATGTGTCTGACTGATAGTTAATAATTATTGAAGTAGTGCCGATCAACCAATTATTTCTCAACTTGAGAATAGCTTATCTATAAAATAGTTAGGACTATAAGTTTAACAGTTAGGTAATCAAATTAGTTGCATAACATAACATCACGCCTTTTATCCTCGCATGGGTGGGCAGAGGTGCACAGTACGGCGCTAAATGAGTCCCATGTAATAAGGGGTGAGCCTATTGCCATACTTATTTACGAATTAGTTGCTTATGTATCTAACACACATCGAATGTACCCGTCGAGTATTGACAGTTAATACCACAACAGAAGTCGTAGGGGACCGAATGCCGTACTGAGTACAAAAACTGATCTGAGATTCGAACTCAGGTAAACGCATTAAGCGGCCTCAAAACTATCCAGTAGTTTTTTAATGAAAACAAGAGGTTTTATACCAGTAAGATACAGCTTATGAACACAAGTAATTTTTGACGTTACAATCAAAGCAATAAAGTTTAAATTTCTCTAAGCTTCACATCTATAACTACAAATAACGAGTATTGTATGTCCATTCCATATGTCCCCAACATCAATAAATTTCTTCGCAACGTTTTGGATTCTTGTTCAAACGATTACAACATATGGTTAGAGTATCAACGTTATTAAGATCAAAGTATGAACTACAATGTGCTACTAAGTATAATTATAATTTAATTTACGATAACATCCCGATACTTTATTTGCTTCGTTCAGTTTTATAACATAACATCACGCCTTTTATCCCCGAAAGGGTACGCAGAGGTTTACACTATGCCATTGTACAATGTAACACCCACTTTTCACTATTTATGTTATGAGTCCCATGTAATAGGGGGTGAGTCTATTGCCATATACCGGGCGCAGTTCCAAACTCCGTGCAACTACTGAGAATTTTTAAAAACCCATTAATACATTGCCCGACCCGGGAATCGAACCCGAGTCCCTTGCCCGGTAGTCGCACTTGCTACCACTCGACCAACGAGACAATCTTAGATATATAAAGGTTAATAATGGTGATATAAAAATATAGGTAATAATACACTTATTGTCAGTTAAAAACGTCCAGGGTGCAAATATATAGATAACTATAATTCAATGATTTTGCTTTAGCTATAAAACTTACGGATAGATATATCGCTCACAGACTCATTTCTAAACTCTTCCTGAGAGTTTATAGAATCAAACTACTAAAAATATTCGGGACTTGAACCCGTAATGTCATGACTTCGACGGCTTGACAGAAACACAGTAACACCTGTTTGGACACGGGGGTCGAACCCGAGATCGCCAACATATAAAAAAAAAATATGAAACATGAAAGAAACTAATTCAATTATGAAGATGGTGATGAAAATAATTATCATGCCATAACTTAAGGGCTCCCCAAAGGTGTAAATACTAGTTTACTTATAACTTATAAATAAAATAACTTTTTGCAAGTTAGAGTAGTACCTAATACTTAGAATGTACTTATAAATTATTTCTAATTTTATAATAATCATAAAATATTATAGTGCTAGGGAAGTGTGTATTTTTTTGTATTACATCTTGTAGATAGTGGCTGTATTATATAATTTTATTTATTGTTAAAAAAACTTGTAAAATGGTTTCCTACAGAGTGTTGTGGGGGAATTTTGTCTACCCTTTTCTTGGTATACATATTTTTTTAAAGGCGTTATGTATCTTTATAAAGAAAATTTATTTATGTACAGTTTTAAATAATACGCAAATAGGCACTAGTGCCATAATTTTCTTTTTACATAATTTTATATTTTATTTCGAGAATAAAATTTTGTTAATTTCATAAATTATTATTCCAATGAATTTTAAGCTGTCTTATATTTAAGGTTTCTAATTTAAACGAAAACTAATATTTTATAATACTTTATTACCCTGATTTTTTAAATACCTGTCAATTACGACCTCCAATTTATTATTTATAATATATTACGTCCTAAAATTTTTACGGCAAAATAAGTTTGAATAAATTAACACCTTATTGCTACTTAATTATTGCAATAATAAAATTGCCAATAACAAAAAAAACTTAAAAAATAATCTAAGAAATAAATGCCACAATAGAAAATAACTTATGAAATAATTGAAATGGTTGCAAATTAAAAATGTATAGTGATTATAATACCTGTCGTAGTCGTTCATGGAAACGTTCGCAGTATAAAAATATTCTCTCATAGCGAAAAAACGAAGATATTTCACGACAACAATGGAAAAATCTCACATTATCACGTACTCGCGTTATTCGATTCACTGTTAATCGATACTGTTTAGAATCGATTAGGTTTTTATTGCTATTCTAATTGATATTAACTGCAATTGATATTGTTGGAAAAACACTTGTACCTGACTGATCAATATTCATTATTCCTTCATTATACTAAGGGTAAATTTGAATATTGCTGTTTTTGTAGCCAATACATGTATATTTTCTGGATAAAATCGTCTGCGAATAATATATCGATTTTTTATTTATCTACAAATGTGATCTGTCTACAAAGTTTTTGAACAGTCTACCGATGGCAATCAATTTGTTAATCAGAAATAATAATTGTTAGGAAATATAAATATTTTAATATCAAATAATAATTAAATGCCGGAAACAGTTCTATTAATTCAACAGTTAACTCATAAGGTCAACGACCCGAGGACGCCATCTGTGCGGGAATCACTAACTTAATTTTGTACAATTTCGTAATTATTTTACAAAATTACAATAGGTCTTCATTGTTTTATTAAAATAGCTATTTTCTATTTCTACCTATCAGACACTTAGATCTAGGTATTCATTTAAACATAGAAATATTTTTTCAAAATCTTCGTCTAGTTTTTTTGGAAAACATTAGCTGATCTTTTATTCCAATTTTAGTTAAAAAGCAAAAGGCAATAATTCATAAAATTAAAGATAGTTTCACAAAACTAAGATCCAAAAGTATAAACTGACTGGACACACGTAGTTAAGTAAATATTGTAATAATTCTAACACCTGACAACTAATTTTCACTTTGTCTATATTTATACAAATAGGTAGAATAAAAACAGTTTTTCTCACCGGACACATCAGAAAAAAAATCTATTATCCAATATTTTATTTCATTATTTCCCTCCCCTATTTCTCTACACCACAAAAAATATCCCATTGAGAAAAAAATACACCTGTAATTTTATTTGACCGTCACTTGTCTACAAAACCGACACTTTGGTACTTTTACGGCCCGGCTTTAACCACCAATTTCTCAAGTTGACCACTCAATTATAACGTACTTTAGTCAACAGAGGAGTACAATTTAAGTCCTTAAGCCTCTTCAATTTGAACCCAAAACCTAGGAAAGAGGATTGTAAGGTGAGAGTACCAGTAATCGTCCAATCTATCATCGAATCACCGTATGATCCGAATCGCCGCTCGCCGCTACCGTCGCGCGCCACAGATAATAATTAATCTCTCGATTGCAATTGATCACTTGATTTACTCATCGAATTCTATCTGCTCTATTTCCAACTTTTTATTTTCTAATTAGAAATAAATTGTTCCGTTATGTCGGCGATATTATTTTTTTATTTTAAACAATTTATTGTTGAGAGTTTTTGTTTTAATTTGTAGCAGTTTTATGGTAAAGTTTTGCTAACACTTGTAGTTTTTTTATTGAGATAACTAGAATTATCAGCTGGATCAGTATAATTTTTAATTTCAATTAGAATTTGTTGCGGTGTCCAATTAGTCTAAATCTTATTGGAACTTATAAACTGTCTTGAAACAGTAATGTAACTTTGCCGGTCTTACAAGATTTTCTTATTGGAAGTCGTAAGAAAAATCAGAATAATTTTCGGTCATTATAAAAAAATACACACTTTCCCTAGAAATAAAACTATTACTAATAAACTTAATTTAAACACTTACGTGTGTTCTCAGACGAAACTTGTAAAATCACAATAATTTTTCGATATACGTCCACATAACACTTCAAAGTCAAAATACTTCACAAGAACTGTTTTTGAAAATAGTTGTTCAGTATCACACGCACTAGTAACAATATTGTTACTATATTATAAAAGCGAAACACAGTCAGCTACGCCCAAAAATAATGTTAAGTCCGAGCGAAAACAAAACAAAAACATGACACAGTGTACACAAAACTCAAGTTCACAGACGACAGATGCGGAAGAAAAAAATAATTAAATTAATAAAAAATAAGTGTGGGATTATCGACAGTTTACAATCACAATCGATTATCGGAGTCGCGGTTTCGATCCGATTAGTTATTATTACGTAAGGTGATCCTCGACGCGGAGCGCGGCGTGGCGGCGGGCGCGCGTGTTCGGCGCGACACACGACTGCAGTGCGATCCTTCGGCCGAAGCCCCACCAACTCTACGCGCATCTGAGGCTCACTCCTTGGCGCGGCCCCGCCCAGTGGGACGCCACTCGGTAGCTAAGATGACCGTCTCCCTCTTTATCGCTCGCACTCTATTCCGCGCTTCTCGTCCCTTTCCCTCGCGGCGACAGTGGGGCGCGCCAATAGGATCGGTTCGGCGGATCGAGTCGAGACGATGAATCGAGATGTGTACTTAGGTATCACTGCACAAGTCCTTTTGTTGTAGTCGATAATAGGATGCGCTTTTTTTCCGGCGCGATCGACTGCCCGCTTCTTGGACCGCTCGGCGGCTGTTTGTGTTGCCATCCATTTGTTTACATTTACTCTGCTGCTTCCACTTGTGACCACAACAAACACGCCTACCTGATTTTTTCTGTCTGTTAAAAATGTATTGATCAAAGCTCCACACGCCCTGGGTGCCACTACATTATCATACATGATCTTTACTACACTTTAGATATTTTTATGATTTTCTACATTTTTTCTGGATACAGATTAAACTGTTTAGACTTTAATGTTTATTGCAGTTTCAATACTAGCGGGTTTAAAGAAAAAGAAAGGGGTTCGGGTATCGGGTATCACCTTGAAATAATCGAAAGTGCATGAACACGGTTGTAAGGGCAAGACGCGTAGGGTGATCGTCTCATAGTCGGCAGGGGTGGGTGAACTCCGTAGGGCGCCGATGTAGGTCAGTTTTTGTTTCGCGCCACCCGAAATTCGGTTACTAGGTTCATTCGTGTTACGTTTGAATTTTAATCTTTCACAGGGCCAATAATTGGTGTTTTTACCTTACTACCTGACTAAAGGAAAAAACTATTTAAATGTTTGATTTGTACGAAGTAAAGATTTGCTTAACTGTTGGGTAGAAATGTTAATTAGCAATAATGTGAATTCGCACCTTGTATTTCGCATACCTACTTAGTTAATTAAGTATTTACGTTTTTGAACTGAAATCTTAGAATGTAAAATCTTCACAAAAAGACGTTGACTCTACAAAGGTACAAAAAAATTACTTTTCTGTAGAAAATGTACATCCTAAAAAATAAAAAAAAACAAAACGACAATCACATTCCAAAAAAAATAAACCAAGTACTTCGACATTCGACAAAAACCTTTGTAAGACATGCGAAGAAAATTGTAATAGGTTAATTGCGTTCCGCTCGTCACTAGATGGCGTTGTGTGGCGCTTTTCCACGTTTTCCATACATTTTCCGAGCATCGCGGCCGAAGGAATAGATGGGAGCTTTAGTAAAGAGATTACATTCTAAAAAATGCTGCATTTTGGACCAGTTATGAACTTAGAACAGTGTTTTTCATTGTTTTTGTTTTTTAATTTTGCCATTATTTTTGTATTTCTGTGTTTTGTCATGTTTACATAAGGGCTTGATTTTTTTAGATTTATTTTAGGTAAGTATATCTTCTTTTTAGTTGTTAATATTTTATTGGTTTAAATTGTGATTGCTACTTCATTTTGTAGTCAGTATGTACTTATGTTAAGAGACACCTAATTATAGAAGGCAGTAGGTACTAGGTGAATTTTTCACACACATACACATACATAACATCACGCCTTTTATCCCCGAAGGGGTAGGTAGCCAGAGGTGCACATAGCAGTGACACCCACTTTTCAGTATTTCTGTTATGAGTCCCTATTATATGGGACTCATACATACGGCAACATGGCAATAGGCTCACCAGCCTATTGCCATGTTGGTGAATTTTACCTATCTTACTATGTCAATCATATCCGAAGTCATGGGTCTATTTGTATCTGACCCTAGTACAACCGCATTTAGTGCTTTCTTCGGTTTTCAGATAGAAGATTTGTTAGGAACTAGATATTCCTAGAAATATATCTTTGAATTTGAGATTAGGAGACTTCGATGTTCGCAACCAATCTGCAATGAAAAAGCTTTTGTAGTCATTTTGTATTGATCTTTTCAAACTGCTATGGTCATTGCAATTTGTTAGTACGTGAAGAGTCCTTTTTACAGTAACAAGTCGGGTGAACAAACCCAGCCTCCTAAATTGCATAAAACAAATCTTTTCATCTCAATCTCTTGAAAATTACATAGAAAACAAAAGAAAGAAATTAAGATTCATGAAAATTGTGACAAAATAATTGCGCCGGAGTCGATCGTGCGAACGCAATTATTAGTGCTGCGCTCACGCAAGCAGAGTGACGACACTAGAACAGTACGGAGAGAACTGACAGCGGGGGCAGAGCACTCTATCTAAATAATTTTGGACAATTTGTGAAATATCTTGATAATCTCGGAGGTTGAACGAAAAATCTCAATAACATTTTTTTTGGTATGAGACCGTGTTCGAGTCCTCAAAAGAAATTTTCTTTTCTCTGGTTGGTTTAAATGTGTTTGTTTTTACTTTGCCTCATTGTGGTTGCAAGTGTGACTTCCGGGCAAGGTGTCTCGGGATCGATTCCCGGGTCGGGCAAAGTAATAATAGGTTTTTTTTGTAATCTCGGTAGTGGTATGGAGTCTGGAATTGTGCTCGATATATGGCAATAGGCTCACCCCCTGTTACATGGGACTCATACCTAACATAAATAGTGATAAGTGGCATTGTACAGTGGCTTTAAGTGATGTAATGTGCACCTCTGCCTACACCTTCTAGGATAAAAGGCATGATGTTATGTAATGTTTTTGCATTGATGGTATGGACAGGGAATAACTTTATTAAGTGTACCTTTTTTACGTTTCTACATTACCTTGTTAGCTATAGGTTACAGTGCAACTATAAACTTCATGATGATAGCTTCGTCAAACGTTCAGATCAAATATCCATCCATTGCTACACAAAAGCCTTCCTAATAGTACTTACATCACTAAACTTGATCTCCGTCTCTAACAGTTGCCGGCTATACTGCTGACTGCACGGTTGGCGAGGTGACTGGGCAACCGGCTGCCGCGCAACGTGTCGCGGCTTCGATTCCCGCACGAAACAACTCTTTGTGTGATCCACATATTATTGTTCCGGGTCTGGGTGTCATGTGTAAGTGATATTGTATCTTTGTAAACGCACACATGACACAGTAGAAAATCTTAGGTTACGGGGCGACTTTTTAAAAAAAGAAAAATAATACAACCATTCACGTCACTTCGTACTTTCTATATATATTATTCGACAAAACATACTTTAAGAAATTCGTCTATATCTTTACCATTTTAAAAATCGCTGTCGCTTCCACTTACAATATACACCAGTCCATATAATTGCGGGTCGGTTAGCAAATTGTTGTATTTGAACATCATTGTTATTGTCATTGAGCAAGTCTGGATTAATGGAGTTTTCTTAATTTCGTTTAGAAGTTTATTGCACTCTTCGTTTTGGCAATAAGTAAGTCATAATCTTAGTTCTTGCTAAGATTAATAGCTTAGGTTTAATGCTTTATTCGGCGATTTCAATACTAGGTAACGATTGGTTTTATATTCCTTATTTAGTTAATTGGGATGATGACAGGGTATGAAAATTTAAAACCTAATTAGTCCGTAAGTTAGGTAATGAAAAAATATTAGACACGTATTTTTTTATTTTGTCGTATAATAAAACAATACTTAGATAAAACGAATCAAAGTTTAGGAGTGGGATCTAAAACGTCATTTCTGCGTAGGTATAAAATGTACATAGAAGTGACGTCACGCGATAATTTAAACCAATATATCGTCGAAAGTATTGGTTTCTGTAAGAAAATAAAAAAATACGTATCTAATAATTAAAAATAATCTACCAGACGAACATTAAAATAAAAATTAGGCATCTACCCTATTATTATGTTTTCAGCTTATTCACGTAACTGTTTGATGAAGAACTCGACTAGTTTCAAGCCATGCTAGAGGCTCATATTTATGAACACCATTCCGCGACCCACGACGCGGCGACTAAGAAACGAACATTATAATATAAACATGGTTATTTAGTTGATATGTCGAAATTGGGAGTTGCACGTAAGTTCCTAGCTTGTCACCTCTCTATTATACTTAATATAAGCTTTTAACCGAATAGTATTCATGGGTTTACTTAGGTAGCTTACATTAGTCAAAGTCAAAATCATTGGGGTAAATATTGTATAATCTATTGGGATAAGATATGGACTGACTTGAGTGCTAAACAAATTTACATTAAACTGTTAAACACCGCGAGGACACCGGTGACCGCAACCTATTGTTCTTTAATTGTGTCTTTAACGACAGTACTCAAAGGGGTAAAATATTACAAAATAAGATGTTTTACAACAGATACGTTTAAAAGGAGCGAGCCTAATTATCTTACACTAGACACTGAATCAGGGCTTCATAACCTATAAATCAATCACGAACTTTATAAATATAGTAGGTACTATAGAACACGAAAACGACAACTGTTTACTCATCTAGACAAATGCACCTGGTATTACCTGACGTAACACAAAAATTGTTAAACAAACTGATTGTTGTACAATGAAATCCTTTGAATATTGGTAAGTTAAGACGCAGTAACAATGGTTGAATGTAAACATTGATGGAGGGGTGTCTCTCCGATATTAAAAACATCTGTTCTGGTCCCTCCGATACCCTCCCGCGACGAAAGGGTTAAAACGAATCGCTGTGGACATTCTTCGGTTTTTTGAAATATTTTTTGGTTATTGTTTTATAATTTTTTTAATACCATTATTGAATTTTGAATGTTTTGTTAATTTCAATTAGGTGGTGTATGTAGCTTTAAAAGGTATGGTGTTATCAGGATAGGTAAGGTTAGGTTTTTAGTGGCAGCTATAAGGTCTATGAACCACAATACAATATTATTTGGTGTTAAAATTTCTGAACAGTCCATGATCATGGTTAGATTTCAAAACCAAAAAAGTTGGAAATTCAACTCTAATCTTGAACCAAAAACTTTCGAAGTCACATCCCCTCAAATCTTACTCCGGAAATCGGAAAGTGAACGGCAAAAAGTAGAAAAAAGAAATCGTAACGGAAAAAATCCCTTCTTA